CCCCCCCCCCCCCCCCACCATCCTCCTAATCTAACGGTCCCTAAACTGTCCCAGGCCCTTCCAAACAAGCCGAACCCTACGCCCTTACCTTTCTGGGTTCTTCTTCGGGGATTTAATTTAAGTTGCCATATTAATAGAGTTGATGGGAGGAATATTAGGGATCTTTTGTAAATGATAGGGTTTCCGTATTATGGTGACTTAAGATATACATCCCCTAACAAGAACCCAGCTTTGCAGACAAGGCTAAACTAAAACCCTGGTGACTCCCAGTCCATCCCTAGGCCCCACCATCTATGTTAACGAACCCGAACCCTAAACCCTAAACCCGACACCCTAAACCTGGTTTGATCAGAATCGAGTTTTTTTTCTTTTTTTGGTGGTGGGGGGGGGGGCGGGGCAGCTTCGGAGACCTTTCTCCCAAAACGTCTGAAGCCAATTCTAGAAACCCGCAATGAGTCCCACCGCTCCGCTCAGACCGAACCCGAAAAAGAAATCCCGACAGCAAAACTCTATGGCCCCCACCCCTTCGCAAGGAAGCCTGATCCCTAAACCCTAAACCATAAACTCTTAAACTACTAGACTCTTAAACTCTTAAACTCCTAAACCCTAACCTGAAACTCTGAAAACCCCCATTAAACTCTTAAGCCCCTAAACCCTGAACCTTAAACCCTTAAAATCCCAATTAAACTCTTAAGCCCTAAAGAACCCTAAAGAACCCACGACTTTCTTGGAACAACAAATCCAAAAGACTCCGCCGAGGCGCCTCCAGCTTCGTGAGAGTCCAAGATGCATCCTCGAAGGTCTCCACGCGGACCCCATGAAGACCTCAGGGATCTTAGGGGTTTAGGGTTTAGGGATTGAGGGTTTAGGGTGCAGGCTTTGGGGTTGAGGGTTTAGGGTTTAGGGGTTTAGGGACCTCAGGGACTTTACCTATAGTCTCCATTGTAGTTGATTTTTTGGTTTAAGCAATTCTATATTAAGGAACCTAAAAGGTAACCCCAAAAAGGAACTACAATGGAGACTATAGGTAGGGCTTTTAAGGTTTAGAGGTTAGGGGCTTCGGGGTTGAGGGTTTAGGGCTTAGGGTTAGGGTGCAGGCTTTGGGGTTTAGGGTTTAGGGTTTAGGGGTTTAGGGGTTTAGGGACCTCAGGGACTTTACCTCTAGTCTCCATTGTAGTTGATTTTTTTGGCTTAACCAATTCTATATTAAGGATCCTAAAAAGTAACCCCAAAAAGGAACTACAATGGAGACTATAGGTAGGGCCTTTAGGGTTTAGAGGTTAGGGCTTCGGGGTTGAGGGTTTAGGGCTTAGGGTGCAGGCTTTGGGGTTGAGGGTTTAGGGTTGAGGGTTTAGGGTTTGGGGTTTAGGGTTTAGGGCTCAGGCTTTGGCAATTGAGGGCTTGGGGTCTAGGATGCTTTAGAGATTTGGGGGTGAGAGTTAGAGTAGATCGAAGATCTCTCACTCCGAAGCTGAAGGTTGACGCAGATCTCCGGCCCGCAACCCCTAAACCCCTCCAACAAACAGACAGAGCAGAATTGAAGGCTTCGGCATCCCGTACAACAGTGGGGCTACTGTTGATAGAGACTCGGTGGCCTCCGTTGTAAGGGTTTCGGGCTTTCGGCCTTGTAACGTTTCTCCACAACCCCCACCCCGCCCAAGCCTGCAAGCTATCAAACATGGGAGCTGCTGCCAACCTCACAGTTAAACTTTAACAACCTCTTGTTCCTGAATCCAAACGATCCCCTTAGACTCTTCAAAAAAAGGCCAGAAGGTGGAACATCGGACCACCCCCCCCCACCCCATGCAGGTGAAAGCCTCCTCGAACCAAGGGAAAAGAATGGTGACTTCCCACGTTGCCAACCTCTCAACCCTAACGCCCTACAACCGTAAAACCATCTCAACCCTCAAACCCCAACCCCTGAATCACCCTGGACCGAAGATAGATTTAGCTGCGCAGCTGAAAGTGGACGGCACCGCGATGTTCCTCGGTGCACGCGAGTCGGGGATTCAGGGAGTCGCCATAACACAGGGGCCTGGGCAATTTCCACGGTTAAGGCTTAGGGTTTAGGGTTTAGGGTTTGAATGGGGTTTGGGGGCATCTTAGACTGCGTTGGGAAACTATTTTCTCGAGAAGGGTGCAAAGTGATGTTCAAGCAGCTTTCGACACTTGAGCCCGCACTTCCGCCTCAAGGACGCTACCACAGAATCGGGATCGAGCTAAGGTTTCTTCGCGGACTTCCGAGGCCCAACCCCGAGGCTCTATGTACTTATATAATATACTCTTGACCCTTTCAAGGGCTCCCATAATAGAGGTACTTTAGGGCCTAAGTATATAGTATATATATATACACACATGTCTACATATATACCTATATACATACATACATACATACATACATACATACATACATACATACATACTACATAGGTACATGGAGCCTCAGGGTAACATTCGGGAGTTGTGAAGAGCCCGTGGCCGAGAGATTGGATGATGCACTACACACACACAAACACACCAGCGCGATTCTTGAGATCTGCTGCACTCAGATCGTTTTCAGGCATGACATGAGCCATTAAAAATCTCACATCACGAAATTGTGCGTCAGCGAACTGTCTTGTCGTCGCACTGACTTGATCCACACACGGACCTGGCGATAGTCGGCGGCCGGTATGTCCCAGCTCTTCCTGTCGGAAGGCACTCGTGCTCGGAGAACCACTGTTTGGGAGCCTATCCGGATTTTGCCGGACACTGCGCAGGAATCATCGCACAACAGAGCGATTGTGGCTAATGCACGCTGGCCCGCTTGGCTACCGCGTGGGTAGTACCGTAAGGTTGCGCTGAGGCTATCTCCAATGTGAAACATTGGACTCTCAACATAATCTCCGCTGACCATAGTGTCGCAACGTCGCAGATCCTCCGGTGGAATGTCCCACACCTTGCTCGGCAGCGCTAGTCTCAGTCTTTGCCTCTGCAAGATTTGTACCTTCTCTTGCAGGTTCTCAATGCACACCTGCAGCTCGGAACACATCTTCATAACTCTTGAGCAACTGCCGACCATCCCGTGCAAAGCATCTTCGTTGCGTCGGTCCATGCTGTAGGCCCTGCCATAGGCAAGCATCGCATTCTCCTGGTCTCCCATCGCATCGAACTGAGTTGCGGCATGCACCGCAAGACGAGCTCCCTGCTCGGACCTGTCTGCTGCAGCAAGCTGGTTCGCGAGCCCCAAGAGAGTCGGCGGCGCCAGCTTAAGCTCCTTCACCTGATCTGGTGCCAGGGTGAGCTTAGACAGAGTCTCTTCCGGAACCTGGTCGTGCTTTGCCAGGAGCAGGGTAATTAAAACATGCTCCTCCTCAACCGAACCCTCGATGTCCAGGCTTTCCAGAAAAAGTTGGAGCAAACTGTCTCGCGCCAGATCATGCGTAGGGCTCGCATCTAGGGCTTGCAGAAGCAATTCCTTTTGGGCTGCCCGGTCGCCAGAACGGCGCCTGGACAATTCCAGGAACAGCGACGCCAGAAAGTCTTGGTCACAATAGTTCTCTGTCCAGCCTGTCAAGTCCGAGTTCTCATTCCAGACATCGGCATCTGTGCCAAAAAACAAACACACCCGCGCTCCAAAATCTTCTGGGCTAAGCGTTCGCAAACAAGAAATGCTCTCAGCGAGTAGCTTCTCGGGAACGTCTGGCAAGCAAAACGGGGATTTTAATCGAAGCCACACATGTAAGCCTGCCAGCACCAAGGCCGCCCCTTCTAGCCACATGCCAGGATCCGTCACAGAATCCACAGAGCCAGAGGCCCGTGGCAGCACGAAACGCCACAACTTGTTCACATTCCAAAACGATGCCAGATTCTGTCGAAACCCCCCCCCATGAGCCTTCACGCCGGCTGCCAGCCTGGATGCACGCAATCTGTCCAGATCTTCGGCACAAGCCATAGTCGGAGCCGTGGATGCAGCCTTCCGCAGAACTTCTACAAGATCGTCTTTCCGGTGCACCCTGCAGCTACGCAGAATTGGCCACACCTCCCACGTATAGAAATTCTCGAGGAATTGCCTCACGTCCATGGCCTGCGGGTTGTCGGCAAGCAGGCAGAGAAGCTGCGAAACAGCAACGTCTTGCTCAGAGGGCAGACCAGCTTTCAGCTGGAGCACTTTTGCAAGCTTCCTGGCCCGGGTGTGACGAACTGTAGCCCTAGGGGTCCATGTACCCAAATAGTATAGACATTGGCCTCAAAGTACTTATATAGGGACTACTTTAAGGCCAAAGTATACCTATTTGGGTACATGGACCCTTAGGGTAGTAGAAACATTGAACCTGCCTTGGACCCTCCTAAACATGTAAGCGCGGCTTAGACTCCTGCTGAAACACAACCTCCTTGCCAGGAGGCGAGGAACAGCATCAACTTAACTTAGAGCATGCAAAATAGGCCCTAAACCCTAAACCCTAAACCCAAAGCCCTAAACCCTAAATCCTAAACGCTGAACCCTAAACCCTAAACCCTACACCCGGGCCCAGCTGCCTCTGGTATGCCCCGTCGGGAAGCTTGGGACGGATGAAGTCCTCGGCTCGCTGTAAGAGCTTCTGCGCCAAATCACTCGGGATGTGCGAGGCGACGGATAGAATCTCGTCGATGGTTTTCCTTGGCCCAAGCCCCTCGGGGTCCGAGTGCTCAAACACTCCTGACTATGGCTACTAAGGGACCGCCATACTAACATCTGGTAGTTATTGAGCCTAATTATACTTCTCTATAGAACACATATAATTATAATTATGTGTATATATATACATATATACACACACTATTTTATGCTGTGCTGTTTGAGTATTTGCACTAGGGACAGGAAGCCTCATCCCGAGCGAAACCCCCACAAGTTGGTCAAGGTTCTGTTTGAAGTCGAGGATAGCTGCAACCTTCTCCTGATTGGGAATGACCTGCAGCAAACGTCCAGCTTGAGCTTATGTTTCGGGTCAGTTCGTAGTAGCCCTATGAGACAGCGACCCATCTTCCTGGTGAAAAGCTGTTGGCTTGGAGGGTTAGTGTTGAGGATTCATTGTGATGTGTGTATGCATGTGCATACATAAACACACACACCCAGACACATACTTGATTCGTTTTTGTTGACACGAGGGTTGAGGGTTTAAGGTTCACGTTCATATATAATAAACAAAAATGTGTGTGCGTATATATATATATACATACACATACTTGACGCAACATTTTGGAAAAGGGAATCTTCAGATTGCGCATCAGAAGTCCAGGACAGGATGGATAGCATGCAAGGGCTCGTTTGGGGAAATTTGTGGGGTGAAATACAGCTCCCAACAAACGCTGCCACTGATCCAAACCAACTCGAACATCCCCTATAAACCCTAAACCCTCTGGCTATTTCCTGGCCCCCGTGGCCAATATGGCCGTGGTACTGCTGTTTGCATGTTCACCACGGTTTAGGGTTTAGGGTTTTAGGGTTTAGGGTTTCGGGAGTTCTACGTTGGAACTTGCAACTGCCCCCGTCGGAAAAGCGTGGACTGGAGAGGAGTGAGACGACTTGGCACTGCGGCCTGCAGTCAACTGCAAAGTTTGTTGTTTCCAGGGATTTAGGTCTGTTGGGTTTCGGGCTCTAGGGTTTAAGGCGGCTCTGGATTTATTGAAATAGTCTGAGCAAAACGTTTAGAACTTCGGTGCCTCAGCGAAGTGTAAGTGGCCCAGCAAATCTAACTAACAATCTGGCTTTGCATTCGCGAAGACTGTAGCGCAGCGCCAGCAATGTGCACCCTGCAGCCTTACCTGATACAAGCAGAGCAAATCCGAGCAACCCATTCTGTGATCAGTTGGCGTGTTTGGCATTTGTTTGCCTGTGCTTCAGAGAACCTAATATAGTACCCTAAATAGTAGGATCCTTATTATACGGACCCCAAAATAAGGTACCCCTATGTTCGGAAACTCCTATTTTGGATGCACCAAAGAATCCGAAGTTCCCCAAGCCCGGAAAGCTTTGGCAGTCAATCCTGCTGCTCTGCGCGGCCTGCAACTGGGTATGAGTCCGCCACCCTGCCAAACCCTGCCGATGTCGGGACCTTAAAAGCAAAGTCGTATAGTATAGTATTAAGGCCCCTGTGTTACCTCAGACCCTAAACACGACGACCCTCCCAGAGAGCCTTGTCGCCCATCGGCTCATTTGTCTTCGGGCTCTTCGGCCGCAGATTCAAAGCGTGCTCAATCGCCTGGCTCTTTAAACTTTCGATGCTTCGGTTTCGAGGTCCAAGGGCTAAAACAAGGGGCCTTAAGGGCCTCAACAGTTAGGATAGGGTCTGGGGCCGATTATACTATAATTACTATGATAAGGAACCCCCAAAATAGTATTGGCAAGTATTTAGGCCCCTATAGCACTTAAAGTTTCAGTGTTATTGGTGGTTCCACTGTGATTCATGGTTTCAGGGTCATTGGTTTTGAACTTACTGACGTCCATGTACTTATGCAGTAGAAATCTTCGCCTTAAAGATTTTAAGTGCTCCTAAACATCAGCTTTAGGTATATACATGCATATACCACACATGCATTATAGACATTAATCTTTAAAACAGGGATTTGGGGGCACAGTATACCTGAGGTTTCCAGCCCCGAGAATATGGGAGGCCGTACACCCAGAGGAAAAAATCGATCTTCTGACGATGCCCGCCGGAGTGAGACAGCGCTCATTGAGTTGACGCCGCTTTCAGCTGCTCGCCGCAGCTATCCCTTGTAAGGAAAACAAGTTGCCCGAAGCTACAAACCCCGAGCAGCAGGAAGGGGCCTAAACCACCCTAAACCCTAAACCCTAAACCTTAAACCCTAATCCCTAAACCCTAAACCCTAAACCCAAACCCAAGGGACTTCAACCGCCATATACCCAGAGGTCTACTAGGCTTTGCACTTCACGTGACTTGCCCTGAGGGTCCATGTAGCCAAATAGATATACTTTGGCCTTAAAGTAGTCCCATATAAGCTCTTTGGGGCCAATGTATATACGATTTGGGTACATGGACCCTTAGGGACAAGTTACCCGAAGCTACAAGCCCCGAGCAGCAGGAAGGGAAGGGGCCCAAACCCAAGGGACTAAAACCGCCATATACACAGAGGGGTTTAGGGTTTAGGGTCTACTAGGCTTTGCACTTCACCGTGACTTGGGGCATCCGTGGCCTCCTTCTCGTAGGTGAAGCCATCCTCGCTGAGAGGAGCTGAACCCGTTGGACTTGCCTCCCATCTAATCCTTAGGGGCTGAGTACCCGAGCCCAAAAAAGGTTAACCTTTCAATTATGGTAGGATTATATAAGCCCAAAAAGGTTGAAGGTTATCTACTCAGCTACTAAGAATCCTGGTTCTGGGGGGACCTAATTCCATAATAGTAGTGTAAATGGACCCTCTTGGCTTAAGTCATAAGGATACTAAGGCTACCGCTTTAGTAAGGCTGGAAAATATGGGACTCCAATCGAACCCTAAACTCCTAAACCCTGAGCCCTGAATGCTCCCGGTTTGGTATCCTGACCTGCAGGTAGAGGGCCGCAATCCGCACAAGGAAGCTCTGACCGAAACAGGGAAGCTGTAGGGCTTAGGGTTAGGGTTTAGGGTTTAGGGTTGTCAGCAACAGGACACAATAAGCATATAACGTACCTTGTGTAACATATCGTATGGTATTTAGGATTGTTCTGTGCGGCGTTTAGCGTGACTCTTGCAGCACCGCATGAGATGCCGCTTTTCGTGGTTTAATGCTTAATGTGTACCAGGTTTGTCGGAGTGTAGCCGTTTTGTTGCTCGTATTGTGCTCGTAACTCGCTCGTAGGCTGAACCAGCCTCTCCACATAAAAGCCAGCCAATGTTCTTCCAAAACGATCCGATATCCGTGCACTGCATGTCACTTCTGAAACTAACCGCCCCTACTATATCGACAAGAGATTTTGTGGAGCACCTGCATTCGCGATGTCTTACACAAGATCATTCTGCGTGTGCACCCCGCACAAAACATAGCTCACGTGGCTCTCCTCAGCTTTTCTCAGCACTTCCGGAACCCCCCAGGTACTTACTATATAGGGTACTAGAGCCCCTAGGGCCCTATATAGTAGGTACCTGGGGGTTATAGGCTTCCTGAACGAAAACTCGTGGCCAAGATGCAAAAGTCTTCTTGCAGCCCAGAGTTGAGACAAGCTGCGTGCACACAGAAAGTAATTGTGCGCGAACCCAAACATACCCTAGCCCTAAGGGTCCATGTACCCAAATAGTATATACATTGGCCCCAAAGCGCTTATATGGGGACTACTTTAAGGCCAAAGTATATTTAAATTTGGGTACATGGACCCTTAGGGTAGACAAGTCTAAGAAGCCCAGACTCCTTTAGCACGGAACCTTTGACCCTAAAATGCGGCAGATTCCGAAAGCGATTTGTGGGGGAGGCCCTGAACCCTAAACCTTAAACCCTAAATGCTGGCTTGTCATAGTATGGTCTTCAGGGGTGTGGCTTTGAGGTTGCGGTTGCTTGCGTATAGAGCCTTGAGGCTTAAGGCTTAGGGCCGTAATTTAGTTCTTAACTCTGGAACAAGCATGCATCACTAACTCTCGGGGTCAAAACATTCACGGCAATGTCTTCGGCCACAAACGCCTTAAATCCTAAACCCCAAAGCCTAAACAATAAAACACTCAACCTGAAACCTACCCCAAACCCTAAACCCTAAACTCTAAACCACTCCACCTCAGAGCCGAAGCCTCACTATGAAGTAGCAAAGCCCCGTCCTCCGCCACAACTGGCTGCTCCATGAGAGTGTGCAAGATGGGGCAGAGGAGATCGTCCGGATCCGAGAGGAGGCGGCTCACCTTGGTTTAGGGTTTAGGGTTTGGAGTTTAGGGATTAGGATTTAGGGTTTAGAGTTTAGGGTTTAGGCTTTAGGGTTTAGGGTTTAGAGTGTAGGGTTTAGGGTTTAGAGTTTAGAGTTTAGGGTTTAGGGGGTGAGGTGAGATCCGAAGCTTTCAAACCCCTCTTACCCAGCCCAGCTGCTAAGGACTCCATGCCCTCTTCCTCCGCCTCTGTGTGAGACGCCGCCTGTGCACATGTGACAAGTTGCAAAATAACTGAAAATCCCTTAGTTTGAAAAGGAAAATGTAGTTGTTTTTATAGAAATATATTGTTTTTGCATTCATGATGAAGGTTGCGGGTAGTGGGAGGGTCATCGTCAAGTCGCTGAACGCTGAATGTTGCAGACTCAGCTCGAGACTTCGAGCAAGCACCGTGTGAAATCTATAGTCTGAGGCCATCATCGCTCAGTTGATCTCTTTCGGCGTCAGCACCCGGAAACATGAACTGAATCAGACTGGATCCGAAATACACAGATGGGTGGTTCTCCAAAGTCGGGTCCCTTTTAGGGGCCTTTTTATAAGGGTCCCGTCCCTAATTTAGAGAACTAGTAACTACCCACATGGGCTCAGAGCTGTGTCTGCGATGAGCGAAGCAACACCACTACAAGGTGAGGCCAGAAACTGTCAACATCCTCTGAACACAACCAAACCCTAGACCCTAAGCCCTAAAACCTAAACCCCAAACACTAAACCCTAAACGAAACCCCAACATCCGAAACCCCGACCTTGTCGGAAACCGTCGAGGACATTTCGAGAACCTTCATGGCGGACTGACCCTTCAGTCAAGGTGCACCGAAGCTGTGGAATCAGAAATCGTACACTCAACCAAAACCCAGAACCCACGGACGTGAACGCAAGTCCCTTCACGCTCCTAGACCCAGAAATACCATTAAGGTTAAGGGTTTAGGGGTTTAGGGTTTAGGGTTTAGGGGTTTGGGGTTTATTCAACCGCCTATGTTCCTCTTATTGAGGAATCGAAGAGCTCATCAAGGGGCACTCAGGCGTCCCGGCTGAATTCCAAACCTTAAAAACAGAAATCCCATCATCCAGTATGAAGCCAAGCCCGAACAAACCTCCAACCCTACCTAAATCCTAAAACCCAAACCCTAAACCCTTTCAGGCCCTAAATCCTAAACCCTAAAGCATTAAAACCTACAGCCTGAACCCCTCAGCCCTACTTCACCCAATCCCCGCCCAGCGGCCTGGCGATCAGTCACGCCCTCTAGGGTGTCCTCCGTGCGCCGCCTCTTGGCAAGGGCGGCGACCACGTCATCGGAAGTCAGCCGACACCTGTTTTTGTTTGCTTCATGGCCACGACAACGTTTGGGATCAGGAGCTTCGTGTACCGTCCGTTATCGGTGTGTCTACCATGTCTATCTATCCATCTGACTGTCATTAGGGCTTCCATGTAGCTACAAATAGCTTCTCTATGGTTCAGCCACAGGGCCACTTGGCAATCTTGTCTGTGGAGACGCCATCTTTGCCTTAGCCGAGTGGCACTCAACGCTAGGATTTCTCTGCACGCAGAACACGCAATAAAACCCCTGAACCCTAAACCCCTAAACCGCTGTAAATCCAAAAAACGCTGTAAATCCTTGTAGAACAAACACCGAAAATCATATAAACCCCAACCTTCATGCACAGGGCCCTATACTAAATCCCAGCTTTTGATATGGGAGTGCAGGGTTTAGGACAAGGTGTTCCGGTTGCCCAAACTTGCACCAGCGGCTATGGAAACAAGCCTGGAGAACCTGCAACAGCGCAGGTTTAGCTTAGGGCTTAGGGTTTAGGATCTTGTTTTTTTCACGTGGTCACTGGGGTACCAGGAATCAACCATGGAAGCAAACAGAAAGGAGATTAGGGTCAACATGTAGGGCAGGGAAAATCATCAAGCGGCCTCATTGGCAAGAGTATCTCTTGCGGTTCCTTTTTGTGTGCATCCCCCCCCCCCGAAGAACCTGTGTACAATTTGCTCTTTGGACCTCGCTGTAGGCTGACCAGACATGTGGCTCATGCTGAGGACTGTCTGCAAGGTCTCGCCGCAGATGTCTCCAGGCTGCTTCCGTTTCGGAGCCGGCACCTGCCGCAAGGAAAAGTAACATTGAGCTCACCAGTGACTTCAAGCCTTCACAGGCCCTCACTAACTAGGGGTGTCGATGTGCATGTAAGGCTCAGGGCATCAAAGAAAAGGAAAGCAATACTTACTATCTGGCATAGAGCGTTGGGGCATACATCGTCGGACCACATCAAGGAATTTTTCAGCCCCCCCGGCCTTATTCAATAGACAGAACCAAAATGATGCTGGCATGAGGCATCCGGTGTTCAGATGTTAGCTTTGGTGACAGGTTTTAAGATTGATGCTTCGGTGTTCTTGCAAACAAGAAAAGATGAAGCTTCAATATGCCCAGTTAAAAAACAGAACACAGACATAAAACGTAACGGACACCACACTTTCTGGAGGTTTGACAAGTCTTGGCTTCCACATCCACGTCAAAAGGATGGATCTGTTTGCAGCTTTCGTACCAACCCTGAAGCGCAGGTACGGAAATGCATCAGGTAAAGGTGTCCAAAACTCTGTTTAGACTGACATGGTCCAGATGATTCATACAAACTGTCCTGCAGAAGCGAATGACACACCTGGGAAACCACTCAAACTGAACCTCCAAGACTCAAGATTACACCCCAAATAACACCAAATCGTAGATCTATAAAGAAGCCGTGTAGAACCACTACTGATATGAGCAACCGCAAAAACTATTGGGATACTGCTATATGAAAAGTCTTGGCTATCGCTGTTGGGGGGGGACCTGTCGTTTTGCAAGAGAAGGACGAATGAGTAGTAGAGCAATAGTCGTCGTCATCGACGTCGCATAGCAGCAGCAGCAGCAGTAGCTAGTTAGTTAGTTAGTTAGTTAGTTAGTTAGTCAGTTAGTTAGTTAGTAGTAGTTAGTAGTAGTTAGTAGGAGTTAGTAGGAGTTAGTTGGAGTTAGTAGTAGTTAGTAGTAGTTAGTAGTAGTTAGTTGTAGTT